ACTTTTTTGAGAATTATTTTTAACTAAGTACGGCCCGACGTTTTGGATGCTTTGCAAAACGCAATAGATTTTAATTTAACTACAGACAGTATTCAGTCAATTGTCATTATTTTAATTTAATGAAAAGTGTCACTATTTGACGAAAATCGATTCGAAATATTTCTGGGCTTAACACATAAATATTTCTGTAAGACCCAATTGTATAAACAGTGCTGTTGAAAGTAATAACTAAAGCAATTATAAGTACAATAAACCTATAACTACTAACTGGACTACGACTTTTCTGTATTTAAAATACACTTACGAACAATCCTAGAATAAGTATAATACAGATAACAAATAACTCGTTGAAATTTTATGTAGAATATATTGCGTTTGTTATTTCTATAAGTACCTACTCATCGATACTCTATTTAATATCAAAGCAAATAATTATAATCTGTGGAATGGACGAAGCTCTTATAATCGAATCAAGGAGAGTGTTTGAACTTTAAGCCAAGTACTCATAAGTACGTTGTAACTGTAACAAGTTTATGTTAGTTTATTATCGCGGGACATGGGGCAGTCTGTAAGTAAGCGTAGGCTATAAAATAATACTTGCGGATAAAAGGAGTGGCGGCGAGTTTCTTGCCATTTCTTCTCGTTCGTTCTACGCCCTTTGAGAACTGGTAGTAAATGTAAATTTAGAGTCTTTCGGTTTTAACTGTTGTAACGTTCATAAGTGTACCTCGTTACCTACATGAATAAATTATTTTTGACTTTGACTGCAATATTAAAGTACGGATACAACTTGCTAGTGAGTACCCGGCTTTAAAGTACTGTAACAATTGGGACTTCCCACAGCATATACAATTAGTGATAGATCTGAATGGAATTTGAGAGGACAGAAGGTATCAATTAACAATCTAATAGTTGACTATTGTTACTAAAAAAGGAACGTTCTGTCATTTACCACGCCCACGAAAAACTATTCTGTAATTGTCAACGAAAAATCGGCGTTGTGCTAACTTTCAGGTATAACAAAAGCTGAGATGTGTCCCCCCACATACATCTAGTATATACAATTCTCATGTGTTTGATACTGCCCAGAAACTGCTAGACCGATTTGTATGAAATTTTATATGCAAAAGTAAAACTATTTTTGTTTCGTATTTAAATTTTTTATTTATATAATGTGGCACTTAAAATATTCACAATCCTAGATTTTGATCCTTTTATCACCGACGCATATTTTAATAGTTATTTTAGTAATTTAATCATTTTTCATCCCCCCACTCCCCCGCGTCTCCTACCTACTTTTGTTGTACATGCAGTATCAATAAATTATAGTAAATTATGTTTGAAGTTTTTATCAGATCGTTACATACTATAAAACAATGCTTGCTGGGAGTAGTCAAATTTATAAGTATTATTATCTTACTTTGTTCATTTGTATGTGGAAAAAAATATTTGACTTAAAAATAAATTAGTAGAAAGAGAACAGAATTCCTCTTTTTGTACTAATTTACTTTTTTTAAATTTTTTTTTTTTGATAATACGCTATAGTAAAAAATACTGGCTAGAAATAACAGAAAAAGTGTAATTATAATAAAAATAGACCACGACGACTAAGTATATGTTTATTTTATCTTGGCTATCTATAAACGGCTTAATTCCCCGATCGGTTGTAGGTTTATACTATAAGCAATGGGGCGGCTAGTTTATTATATATCGTGTCAAAACATTAAATCCACACACACAAAAATACAATAACATAAAAATGAAGGTATGTGGTACATCACTCAGCTTTTACATGGAAGTAGGCACAATGCCGATTTTTAGCGATGCCCCAATTATTACAATAAAATAATTAACAAAACAAAAAATTGAAAAAAAAATCATTAAAAAAGAACACTACAAAAAACGTTGTTTTTTAAGTTTTATAGTTTTTTTTTATATATGGCCTATATGTGAATTATGTAACATATTTATCAAGAATCTCTTCAGTATTTGAGCATTGACAAATCGAGATAACTATCTAGAAGTTAGATACGGCCACTTAAAAGTTAAGACCGATCACATTGACACGTTAGATTATGTTAAACGAACGATAACGTCTTATCGTTTTCAAACCTAGTATGAAATATTTAAGTAATTTTGAGACAATACAATAGAAACTCAACACTCAAGGAAAAAGACGAAAGGCACGTACATATACACAAACATATTACGTATACATAGCTACATATATACATAGCTAGGCAAAGTATTTGAAATAGAAAAAGAATATTATTACCCGATTAAAACGCGAAGATTATTAGTTCTCTAATAAAACATTAAACTAATATAAAAGTAAGTTACCTAATATGTATCGCGTTTGAAACCGTTAAAAATGTTTTATTTATACACTGTACTGTGTGTTACACACTTTTGCTGCTGAATGAAGTTGGGAGACGTCACCCCGTGACCTCGAATGCTGCAAAGCATCCGTCGGGCCGTAGTTAAAATGATTTTCAAATATGTCTATCTAACATATATCATGTTTTAAACCGTTAAAATGTTTTTATTTAAATGAATACAACTCGCGTAAACCACAGACAGTATTTAAGTCACTCTATTGTCATATGACTATGAAAGATATATAATAGTCGCCCATGTACCGACGAAGACAATTAGTTAACGCTCTAATAATCGCGTATAATGCTGGTTTCATTCTGTTAACATATTTCGCGACTTCTTTTAAAACAATTTTTACAAACAGCGCTAGTATTCGTCGATACGAATTTTCTTGTAACATGCAATATATATATAAGATACCTTCACCGATTTGAAAAGAGAATTCTCTCATGATAGAGAAGGACAGAGCTATATCACTTTACACCAAGTGAATCCTGTCACTTGACAGTAGATGAAATGCTCCAGCTATATAACATCTAAACTAGATACGCTTTCGATCGACTTAGCCTTTGGATGTTCGGAAATCCACGGACTGATAGCGAAACGCGTTTACACGGCCTTTACATCTGTGGACGGTGGTTTGTAACCCGGACGGAATTTCGATATTACCACCACCAATTCAATATCAAGATTTCCAGACGAACTACAACATGTTTCAGAAAAATTATAAATTGATTAGAAACATCATAGTATTGTTCTTCGGGCTGTTCGGCTGACGTATGCGAGAAGAGGTTCTACGTTGGCCGAATAGACCGAAAGACAAAGATGTGCTGAAATCAATGACCGTGAAAGCATTACACAATTGGTTAGAAACATGTAAGAGCCAGTGGGGTCCGAACCTACGACCCGTTGATTATTACTACCATTACCAACGAACATCAAAAACTATTAAAGCATTGGATCGTATAAACAAAACACTTTAATGGCTTAAAACGCGATATATTAGTTAAACTTATTTGAAAATGATTTTTAACTTCGTTACCCCCGTAATCTCCCCGTGACCACGGCTGCTGCGAAGCATCCGAAACGTCGGGCCGAAGTTAAAAATCATTTTCAAATAAGTTTAACTAATATATCGCGTTTTAAACCGTTAAAGTGTTTTATTTAAATGTGTACTACTCGCGTAAACTATAGACAGTATTTAATTGGATCGTATATAAAAGTATCTTTTTAATAGTATTTGGGTAACACTATATTTCAATTGTATACAGGTGTTATATCGATACTATCAATTAGTAAAATTGAAATGTGCTTTGACCTTCACAGAAAAGAACGCGACACATCGGTTTTAGTCAAGGTTTGAAGAGAAATTGGTTTTCATTGTGTTCATATAATTTTATGTATACAAAAAACACATAGAAATTGGGTTTACCACATTAATAACGTTTATATACGGTTATTTTACGTTTTATAATAGGTATACAATACTAGATTAACTTACTTTTTCTCTTACTTTACTCGTTTTTTTAAAATATCACTTTTTATTATAATAACTATTTTGTTTTTAAGGATTCAAAATGTAAGCTAGTTAAAAGAATCTCAAGGTACCATTTTTGATTGCCATACCTTATTACCGTTTAGGAGAACCTAAGTTGTTTTATCGATATTATAAAGAGTTAACTGTACATTTTATATCGGAAGGGCAAAAGTTAATTATTTAACTAAGAACTGTGATGTGATGTGTGTGTGAACTTTAAAGGAATATTTATATAATATGTGGGTGTGATTTTCGTATAACGTTACCAATAGATCTATTATAGTCATTTGAATTTTTAAAAACCGAAAAGGATCCGTAGTACAGTAGTAGTTATACTGAACATTTTCAAATTCGTTAACATGTAACCCATTATACGGGTGTTATCATCGTTACATTATTGTATTTTAATTAATCTGATACTCTAAGACTAATCATTTTATTTCAGTAATTACCCTCTCTATTAATCTGTTAATTACACATAATGGTCGTTAAAAAATCGATAGTTTGACTATCGATTTTTTAACGAATTTAATTCCTCGAATATATTACGCTTCAATAAACAGTAAGTATTTCTGGAGATATTTAAAGTAGTTATTTGAATTTTAATAAATGAAATTAAGTGGAAACCTATTTAGGAATAATTATAATAATTATATAATTATAATAATAATTTCTAAATTCCTCTAGTTATGATTTATAGACACTAATAAGGATTTCAGTATTAAGATAGAAGGAAAATTAACGCACTTATATATATATTATATAATTAAATAATGTTTACTGTCAATAATACGAATGTACTGTTTATGTTTAATGCTTATATTAATTTAAATTTGTTAATATCAATAAAAAATCGCACTAAACAAAAATGAAATAGGAGGTAGCTACCAAGTTTTTTTTTACGCTTAAATTACGTGTGTGATAGATCATAAATGAGTAAATTGTATTTTTTTATCAGTCTCGACGTGTGATGCATTTTCATTTCTACATCTGATGACATCAAAGTAGCAAATAATTACTAAATAGTGTACAAATGGCACTGCGCGTGAATTATATTCGCTTAGCGTTTTAAAACAAAAACACTTACTGCAACTTTTCCCTCTGCCTCCATATTGAAGATATTTAACTTAAATGTATATATCACAATTTGTCAATACTAAATTCGGTTTTATAATTTGAAGTGCGTAAACATAATCGATGCGTTGCGCTTGCGCAGAGACACGCGCGCGAATAGTCTGCGCGCGCGGTACTGAATAATACAAAGTGACAGTGCTTGATTTCTTAATAAAATCCATTGGCTCAAGTCAACAGTCCCCGCGCAGATTGTGTGACCGTGGTTTGAAAATCGAATGCCTTAACTTGCCATTTTATATTCTATCCTCTTAATATTATGTAAACATAAAACAAATCCTGTGTTTATAATAAATAAATAAACTTTAAAATAATATTGGCTAACTATTGTATCTGATACCAAAGTTAAATTCAACCTACATTATTATTTTCACGTGTTTTGAAGTCTCGTTTAACCATTGATCTACAGCGGCGAGTTTTCTAGATAAGCAATTAAATAAAATATGTAAATTTGAATGACGTTTAAAATGTTGTTTTAACGCGCTTTTCAGTAACTACTGATTCGAATTAAATGTTCGTGTTGTTTAGAGCATTTTTCGAGGGAGGCATAGGCTATTGGGCAGCACGCTGCGTCCAATATGAGCGAAGAAACAGTGGGAAATGTGAAAAAAATGGGGAAAATTATTCATCTTTAATGGTTTACGTTAAGTGTGCCGCGCATGCGTTTCAAGATACCCAAAACATATTATGAAAGAATGATTCCTCTTTTTATGATCTAAAAGAATATCCGCGATGGTATATGTCCACTTTTAAAATTGACTCATACCGTTTAAATTTAGTTGAAGAATTTGTTTGTACGCACTAATCTCAGGAGAAATGGAAAAATTGTTTTCGTGTTAGAAAATTTATCGAGGAAGGCTATCAAACATCGCCCTAGGACTAATACAAGCGAAGATACAGTCAGAAATTTAAAAAATAAATTATCAAAATTTATTGTATACTGTCTATAGTGTACGCGAGTAGTACACATTTAGATAAAACACTTTAACGGTTTAAAACGCGATATATTAGTTGAAATACTATTATACTTATTTGAAAATGATTTTCGGCCCGACATTTCGGATTAACTAATATATCGCGTTTTAAACCGTTAAAGTGTTTTATTTAAAATTTATTGTTCCGAACATTTTTGTTATTTATCCATAGCTAATATTTTTTGTATGTTTGCAATGTAAGTTAGTACCTTAAATATTATCTCGTATGTAAAGTGTGTACTTATTTTTTCGTAAAATAAGTAGGTATCTTGAAATTAACTGATATTAATCAAGGCCACGCGACGCTGGAGAAAATAAACGGCAGTCGTTAAGGGCCAACCTTTTTAAAACTTCCTCTAATTACTTTGTGCCAGGGGCGCATATATCTATACTCAAATCACATTCACAAGCTGGGTATAGGAGTAATGTTTTTGTTATCGTCTTTATAGCTGAAGAGTTAAACGTGTATCAGTTGTTGTGAATTGAATCCCGGGAAAGTAATAATTAATTTTTGAGTTAGTTAGTTTGCGTGTAAATAAAATGAGAATCACATCAGAAGGGAGACTAGATTTTTATTTACGCAGTTATTTTTCGAAGCCAAGGTTAATAAGCTAGGAACAATATAGATAATCGTAACCAATAATCTATATAGTGAAGAGTTATTTATCACCCACATTATTATTGCAGTTACATTATCACACACATTTTATTGAATTATAACATTTTTTATTACGGAAATTTGTAACTTGAAAATATTGCTTTATTTTTATTATGTCATTTACGAGTATAACATTGGCTCGCGTTAATTTGTGATAAGAAATCGCTTTTCTGTTTTTCACACATTTGGCTACAATCGCTGTTTAAAAACTTTAATATTTTTCACATGTGTGTCAAAGTAAAAAAAAACGATTAGGGCAGGTTTGAATCGGCATCCACACAGTTCCGTGCTATTGCTCTAACCAGGACTCGGCAGGTTAATTGGTTATAGCAACAGCATGGATGGCTGTGGATGCCGGTTCAAGTCCTGTGCGAGCCGTATTTATGTTTTCGACTTTTAATTTATATAATCGCTGTTTCAATATTATTGTAATATTTTTAAGCCAACATTTGAAATTAAATTTAAAACTCTTTGGCGTAATAGTAACAATGTTATTTCTAATCAATTCATATTTTTCTGAATCATGTTGGACGTCGTCTGGAAATCTGGATATTGAATGGGTGGTAGGTACCACCGTCCACAGATTAAAAAGCTGTGAAGTTTAATCACGTTTCGGTTTTAGTCCGCTGATTTCCGAATAGGCAAAACAAAATAGGTCGACCGCGCATCGTCTTTAGATGCTTATAGGCTGGGGTATTTCACCTACCATCAAATGAATCTCATTATGTCTGTCCTCCTCTAACATTAAAAAAAAATACGGGCTTACCGGACTGCAGGTTCCGCATTTAATATATAAAACGAAAGAATACATGCTACATGTGGGGAAACTCGTTTTCGTTCCTTCTGTATGTTTTTTGAAACAGCAGATACAGACAAACAGAACAGGAACAGATCACATGATTTAGATTACGTAATGACTTTCGTTACGGAACCCTAACAATTGCTTACGAGTCCGTTTCCGATTGTTATGTGTGCGTGTTTCGCCGGCCGGGGGTAGTTGAAATAAATTTTAAATAAGTTAACTAATATATTTCGCGTTTTAAACTGTAGAAAGTGTAAAATTTGAATGTATACTCGCCTAAACTACAGGCTATAATGTGTGTATTTTTCATACGAGTAATATGTAAAAAAAATCTTTGGTTTAAGATGTGTACCATCTTGTCAAATTTAAGTGTAATGTTTTGTTGGTTCAATTTCACACTAACTTCTTATACAATGAGAGCGGGGAATAAAATTCTAACAATAAAGTTAACAATTTCACTTTTATTACACACGTAGCGTGCTCACACACAAAAATAAAGAGATGAGTGACTTAATAAAATTTATAAATAACATGTGTGATTGTCTTATTTAGAACTAAGTTACCTACCTGACGTGATAAATTTAGCTTTAAATCTTTTTAGATTTAAATAAACTTCGTTAAACTTATTTGAATATTATTGTTTCGCGTATATATAGCGTTTTAAACAGTTAAAGTGTTTTATTTAAATGTGCACTGCTTGCGTAAACTACAGCCAGTATCTCTTAGATAGAGTGATACAAATAAAATAAAACACTTTTAACGTTTTAAAACGCGTAATAAATGTAAATATTTATAATAAATATTTCCGTCGGTCCCACGACGTCGCAATGGTTGCAGCAGACTTAGAATTCAGACTATCCAAAACGTCGGGTCGCAGTTGAAAATAAATAAAAGTATATATTTCGCGTTAGCAACGGTTTATGTATGTGTATACTTTTTCAAATTTTCTTGATAATCATTTCATACACTTTCAAATCTCTCCTTAAAACTATGTTTAAAATTGCATCATCTTCCATTAAACTATTTCATTATAAGATACCTATCATAGACTTTGATGTCTATCTATGTGTGATCGAAAAACATTTTTCAACCTAATTAGAACGAAAGATAAGAAGCTGAACGGTGTGTAGTGTTACTAAAGAACATAATCTTGTGTAATCTTTATTTCGGCTTACGTACAATAAAAAACTTAGCAGACTCACTTTTATTTTGCTCTGCGTTCCCAAAAGGTGACTATCTTGGTTAATTGAGGCGTCATATTCCATCTTAACGCGGTGAGAAATTAATAAAAATCAGAACATTATATACGCACAAGGCAATTAGATAAAACAGCGATAAGAGAAAGCAAATAAGGCTGCAACCGCACGTCACTAACGTAGACATACAACCTCAGAAATAAGACGCATAAGAAAAATGATTGTTAATAATCATAACATAATGCTGCGTCATTGTTCTATGGAGTAAAAATTACGTCACCCGTCGTAAACTGATGTGAAAACCTAGCTCAATGATCATTTAATTTATTAACACAATTATAACGGTTTAAAACGCGATATATTAACTACTCAAGTACACATACGAGTATAATAACTACACATTACTACTAACTACACAGTATTTGCTTATTTCACGTATAATTGTTTTTGGGCTGTTCGGCCGACGTGAGCGAAAAGAGATTCTCGACTTTTTGCCAACACGAGCGGACTGCATCATCAGATGTTGTTAAAATATTACGTACAGCTTTTGTTTTGTTTCTGTGACAGGTGTATATTGTATTTATATTTACATATACACACGACTGAAGAAGTTTTCCCGTGATTCGAACACACAACATTTCGCGTTGAAGACAAAAGAGAACAAGGTGTGTAAAATCCATTTACGACAACTTTTCGACTGTGTATATTGGCCTAAAAACAAAAATAGTACCTACAAATAATACCTATCATTATGCAAATATTCGATATGCATTTTTATGTAAATATTATCTAATATACATGTTAATTAGATACTGCACTAAACTCGCAAACATTGACGTAACTTTAGCACGTGTTATTGCTTAAGCTAAGCGACAGCACGCTGTCGTTCATGGGTTTATAACCCGCCTGTGTTCATTCTCAATTCTTAATATGTGCCTTAACAAAAGGTATTTTTTTAACCATCAATTTTATTAACACGCTCAGTTCAATTTGGTTAGGCCCGTTTTAACTTATTCCACAGGATTCAAATCCCGTAGCTTTTACTTGTTACAAAATGATGTTCAATGCGATATATAAGATCTATCTTCAATCATGAATCGATTGAAGATAGGTCGTAACGTATATTAAAATCTATATCTGTTAATATATGAGGCCGCTAGAGGCAGAAGTAGCCTAACTGCAATTTTATACCTTGAGTTATTCATATTTTCATAGTGTAAAAATGTTAATCTACAAGAGCACGGTAACCGAAAATTGTTAACATAACTTGAACACAAAAAATAGTACAAATTCATTTTCACCTAAGATAACTTATTTCATATTGAAAACCACGTTTTGTTATTAGGTCACTCTGCCTGTAACAGCTTTATATAATCTGTTTGGGCTTCTCAAAAGCAATCTTATACAGCTGAATTCGAACGGTTACTATCGTCTGAACGATACAAATGAATAAAACACTAGTTGAAATAATAAATTCGTATAATCAAAAAACTATATAGCATGGTTGTCTTCTAATATATCCACGTCGTCCTGGCTTTTATCACTGCGAACGAGGCAGCTCTCGTCACAAATCCCTATTGACAAGTAGTTCGATATAAAATAGTAGGACTGCAAGCAAAATATGTACACATTGCTCGACATTTTGTGGCAGGATATAAGTCTTACTGATGATCCTAAGATGTTGCCCAAAGAACGACTCCACAAGACACCAAGGATATGAACGAGAGGCCGTCTTCTCTTTATACAAGTGTCTTCACAACACCGTTGCATTTGGAGTTTTGGTTTAAGCAGAGCAGTAGTAACAACAGGCTTTTCTCGGTGCAGCGGGAATCAGCTTTGTTGGATAAGTTTGCGTGTACACAGTCTTCTTGGTGAATGGATTGAGTGCTTCCTTTGTGGCTCTATGCTTCACTTCCATTGTTACCCGCGCGAATTTGTCTCCCTTCTCCTCCTCCTTTTTGATTAGAATAAAATAAGGTCGAAATTCGTTCGAATACATCGTGATTGTTGTTTTTGTTACTTTTTAATTTTAATATTTATTTCGGTTACATCAAGAAGGCAGATGTCAATTTTACCTTTTTAATTTTCTTAGTTACCTACTTTGTTATGAATCACTATTAATAAAAAATATATATGAGGCCGCTAGAGGCAGAGTAGCCTAACTGAAATTCTATAACTGGAGTTATTTATATTTTTATATTGTAAAGATGTAATTCTATAAGAGCACGGTAACCGAAAATTGTTAAAATTATTTTTACTTAAACATTCATACTCTCCTCCTTATTGAAAAGCTGTTTTTGTTATTAGGCCATTCTGCCTCTAGCAGCCTAACATGTTCAACCATGTACTTCTGAGCGTATGGACTATTTACGCTTATTTAAATGCGTCTGTCAAACAAATATCATTTCCAACATGTATATGTCGTTAATAATAAAAATAAGAAGAATGTAGAATCGTTAGTCTCTTCCCTTTTTTATTTTTCTTAATTACAGTTTCTTTTTTTATAAATATGTTACTTATAGCTTCAGTATTTAGAAATACAGTTTTCAAACACTTTTTGTTGGAGTTCAGTTATGCTAGTAAAGGTTTGAAACCTTTAAATATTTTTTATTGTGAAACATATCTATTCGACTCTTATATTATAAATTAAAAAATATTTTTTAACAAAAAATACTGACAATATTTTTGACAATGGGTGACATAATAAGTAATAAATGAAATAAAATATTCAAGAAATATTTAATATATCGAACTGATTTTTGTCAGTTCTAAACTACGACACATCACTGCTCGGATTATAACTTTATTTTTGGCAATATTGAATTTAGACACTAACATACTATACAATTACAAAAACAAATGTTTAATAATTCCGAGACTTTCCACATCCAGATCTTGCAGCAGTAGTTGTATGAAAAATGTTCTTCAATTGATTCAATATTAATTGAAAGTTATCTCGTTTTAACACCTCCTTAGGTCCAAGTTGAGACAACACCTGTCGTACTTGTATCGCTAACGTTGTTTTTCCCTCCTTGCTTCCTTCTAGATAATGGTCTATTTCATTCTCGTACCGATTGTTAAAATTTTGCGCCTGAGGAAAATACGATACTTTAAAACAACTACGCAGATCGTCTATTAATTGTTAGGAAACAAATATGACTCATTAATTACTTCAAGAAAATAATAATTTATGACTAATTACAATTGTAAGTATAATACTTTTGCAAACTAGAGTTTTCGTGCAGTCCAGACGTCGTAATCGAGAAATGATGCACGACGGCTTAATCGAGCAACGTACAAAATCTAATGATGTCATCTTATTGTAATGGCGTAGCGTCGAGAACCATTTACGACCAATTACGACGGCAAAACATATTGAAAACCACAGTAGTAAATATTGTAATTTACAAAGACAAACACAAGATACGTCATGTAGGTATTTATTAGTTTTAATAGGGAGAGGTGCTGTTGGTAAGCCGAATCATAAATTTTCGATTAGGTACGGGGGCCTTAACATATTTCCAGGATATGTCGTGAGAAGCCTTAGCTTTGCACACAGTACACTGGAAAGGAAAATATAATAAATAACAGATAAAAAAATAATTTTTACTCTATGTATTCATCGTTCAAATAACAACAAAATACAATAGAACAAACAAACCTATCTTTTTAGAAAGAAATGATCTCCATCAAAACACAAAAAATACATGAAATCGTCAAGGGAAAATTTTTACAACTTTCCGATCTTTTGGATCGCTAAAATCATGTTTGAGGGTGTCGATATTATATTTTAAAATTGTATTGAACTCCCTAAGCTTTGCAGCAAAGAACTGGATAGTTTTATTCGCGTTTTGGCTCGGTAGAACTTCTATTCGGTGTTTTTTTACGCCCTACGGAGGGAAGTAAATTTGAAATTATATATTAAGTAGTAGTTGGAATGATTATGGCTTAACAGTTAAGTTTATCAGCGACACCAATACGAGCTGGAATTTTCGAAAAAAGATCACAATAATAGTACGTTGAAGTACAAAATATTTTATATAGAGAGAGAGAGTACCTACTTTCTTTTTTCTAGAGGTTTTAATTTTAAATTAACAAGAGTCCTTATTGACGATCACAGACAAGTATATATTTGGTATTTGAAAAGGGTTTAGCTTTATTAAACGAGAACTATTTACAGTACTTATTTGTATAGTGAATTTCCCTGGTAATGTTTCATTTTAGCTTCGTTCACAGACAAAATTTTTTCGATTTTCAAACGCAATGGAATTTGAATACTTTAATATTTTTCACACGTTATTGCACAAAAGCACGACATACTTTAAAAATTTAAAATAATTTCGACTCGGGCAGGACTTGAGAGTGAGCTGAGCAACAGAGAACGCTGACGATGCCGGTTCAAGTCCTGCCCGAGTCGAAATTATTTTCAATTTATTTTCGCGATGGAATTTTCATAGTTTTTATAGCAAACGACATAAAAAGCCGCAGGTAACAACTTGTACTTACACAATAAGCAAAATTTATTGCGAATAAAGTAAAATAAATGTACAATCCGCGTAACTTCATATTGTTGACGTGTAAATGATTTTACATAAAAATATATTTGTTGTTTCAACAGTCGACAATAAAATATCGGTGTTTCGCAATGAAATTGTATTTTTATTACAGTAATATTATTAAAGCTGATGTAACAGTACATTTATCTAACTCACCGACTTTAAAAAAGAGGATATTTCATTATATAAAAAATTTGTAAGCTTGTAATTATAGGTCACTTTTCATCTGTACAATCTTTGGAAAGTATTCCCCATTCTTATTTCTTATGAATTATTGCATAAGAATGAACAATGTTCGTTATGTAATACAAAGCATACTATAAACGCAACTGTTTTATACCCATTTAATTAAAACATATATAACTCCATTGCCCATATACATAGCACTGATCAATTTTATTTATTTACAGGCGAAGTGATAGTTTAGCAGACTTATACTCTAAGCGCCTGAATCATCTATTCCCAAGCTTTAAACTCAAGATCAGCGACTCTGATGGCAATCCATTAAGAGTTCAGAAGCAGTCGCTTAATTTTTGAAAGGGTTCTTTGAAACGCTTCTTTAGTGCTTTAATATCGATTTATTACATCATTACTGTATTTCAGGAATATTGATTGCTGGGATGCAGGTTGTAAATGAGTGGCTTCTTCCCAGGGTGTTGTTCGGAGTTGTGAGACATGTCCCTAGGCATTCCTGGTACGATTGAAAATTGTTCTGGTTACCTCCACAACCGGAATATAGATGGCGCCTGCATGTTCTGTTGTAAACGCAAAATATTTATTCTCTTTGAAAATTTTTACGTGTGTCAAATCCTTTCCCACCCACATATTTTCGTCCAACATATGGCATATGTGTGTTTCATTAATTGATTTTAATTACAGGCAAGTAATTGATCAGACTTCTCTGTTCTGCTCGACCAAAGATTTTTTTTTTTTTATTTATACTAGCATTTACACAAGCCAAATGCAGTATGGGAAAATTACTAGGAATCTTATCTAAGAAATATAAGCATCTAGATTTGAAAGACCCTATTAATAATAATATTAAAGGATTTAAAATTTCCTGGGTCCCTCGACTTACTTTACTTGATAAAAGGAGAACATTTTAGGCAAATAATGTTATCTAATTGCTATTTCTGGGCTTATTACTGAACCTCCTTAGAAAGCAGATGTGCAACAATTAATGATTATTACTATTATTTCATGATGTTTATTATGGTATATCAATCTTGGACTTAATTATATTACTTCACTCTTTTCCTACTATGCCCAGGCCAATCCGAAAACCAGCGCTGCTGACTGTGAAAGCACTCAGCAGCACAGCTGAGACTGGTACCGATTGCCATCTCTTATATGTTTATTAATTATATATATATATATTTACAAATAGTTTATTAATTATAATTTATATGTTTGTAAATATTTTAAAATGGCAATAAAAGTTTTTAATTTGAATTTGAAAAAATAATAAATAATTATTATTATTTAATATAATATTAATGTAAGTAATTCAATGGTATATACAATTTTATGATAATAAATATTCTACTACCTTCAAAAAAAGACTTTAATAACTTACTTAGACAATGAGTCCCAAGCCCATCTATTAAAGTAACCAAAGCAGTCACCATAGTCAAAAGTCAACGAGCAGAAATATGGGATTTTATCTAAAATCAAAGAATTTGTTTATTTTAGAGTCTAAGAGAGCATTCTTCCTTGAATTATAAGAGTATGAATAATTCTAAGTTCTAGGCTATTTCAAAAGTCGAAAATAAATTGAAAACATTTTCGACTCGGGCAAAAAAAAAAACCCCCCCCCCCGCCGGGGGGGGGGGCCAAATAACACTGATCGCAAAACAGTTAAACGGTTTTAAACGCGATATATATTAGTTAAAGTTATCTGAAAATTATTTTAACTAAGCCCTGCAATCCGAAACATGGGGCCTAAGACAAAATAATTTTTAAATACGTTTAACTAATATATATTACGTTTTAAACCGTTAAGGTATCTTATTTAAATCAAAATACTTGCCAGGAGCGTTTTCCACATCTAGAGAGCAATAGTCAGTACACTGCTTCTTTGTTTCGAATCTATTGCCGTTCCCCTGACAACCACCCCAAAAGAACCGGTAGCATTCACTCTGTCTAACATCATAGTACCATTGGATTATATCAGCTCTACATGGACCGATATCTGGCCTTAGAAAACAGGTTTTATGTCTTGCTGAAAAAATTAAAATACTAAAATGCAAATTTATTAGTATTATCTGTAGTTCATACGAGCAGTGCTCATTCAAATAAAACATTTTTAGCAGTATTAAATTTGACATATACTACCTACATTTATTTTAATGCTGTCAAAAAGCATCCTAGACATCAGGTCTTAAAAGGTAATTTGATATTAAGCGTTTTATATAATTAATAATCCCTATACCTTTTATATGGGGCATATACTATTAATTGTTGATCTACTGTAGTCCTAAATGTTTTAGTTACAGTGTAATAAATTAAAACTTTAAAATATACACATATATAATGTTTGTATAATGTAATAGACTAAATATCCATAAAATAAAATGTTCGAGAAAGATACGTAAACAATTAGGCATATTTAACTCTGAAACTATTTGCCAATTGTAATTGAACAATGGTTAGAAACTGTACTCAAACTAATATTGTATATCCGTTTGTGTTAATAAATATTACTTTCATATTTTACCCTTTAATGTCTGATTAAATTGTATACAGATCCTTTTAACTGAAGGATCAGTCGTCGGTGTTTTAATTCCTTTGGATGGTTTTCTGTGCTTTTTACGACAATATACTGATAAAATCAACAGTATTATGATGACAAGTTTAATCTTACTCAATTTACCTACACTCAAAAAAAAAAAATTTTGTTTCCATTTCTTTAAGACTTGTACGTTGATATGTTACTATAAACTGAATTTATATCAATTTATTATATTGGAGTAATAAAAGTGTGACAAACTAAAATACATTTACAACTCTGTATAGTGTTTCACTTTAAGATTTGTTTCACAAAATGATTGTTGAATGACACCTAATATTAAATATCTACAGAATATTCCTACAGAAGTTTTAATGATTTTAAATACCTCTTAGCCATAAATGTACATACCATGGTATAACTTAAGCAGTAAAAATTGTGATTTTATCACACTCTAAATGTTAAATATTTTATATCTTCTTTGCTATACATTTAATTCATGAAATAAGACAAATTCTCATAACTTAACAAATGTATTTTGAGTTTCGGTACACAAAACTATATCACAAATAAGTATTATTATTAACTCTTTAAGCCGTTAGTCCTTAAAACACTAAGGAAAATAAAGATTTCCAAGGAAATAGTTAAGCTAGTTTTAAGATTGTTACGTAGACACAAATGTTATAAAATATAAACAATAAATAAAAAAACACAGGAATATAGACTGACATTGACGTCTACTTTACGTCATTGTTCAAAATGACAGTCAGTAATTGTCATATAATACAGATAACTCAAAGGATTTTCTTTAATTAAAATTGTTACAGATAACTCACAGTGTTTGGTGAAGCTGTCAAAGTCAATGCCATTATAACAGGTGAGGGCTACTAATCTGTCAAAGTCCTCCACAGAGTAAATGTGTAACAAACCAATTAAAAACAAAGTTAATTTAACGCCAGCCGGAATTATAAAAATATATAAAATGTGTTTAATTAAGAACTACTTCATTTCTCGTGTTAAAAAAAATTCGCAATCTTTGTGCAGTTAGGCAAAAAAATACTTGACCATTACACACAGACAGACAAAACTTAAAATGTTTTTAGTAACTAGTTCTATTTTAGTGTGTATACGGTTAGCACAACCCAGTGACTGCAGACTGCAACCCATTTACAACCTAAATGGTGGGCGGGGTGTGCGTGCGCTTTTTGCTCGTATTTAGATACGATCCGGTATCGGGATTAATCCTTACTGTGCTTTATAGTTATTCTGTTCAGAACTAGCCGATCTCTCTCCCAGTAAACGTGTTTGCAACGGTTTTCTAATTTATTACTTTAGCATTCTTGTAAGTTGAAACAAAGCGTAGAGATTTAGTTAATAATTATGCCAATATGAAGTGTGAAGAGACAATTGTTTATTTATTCGATGCGTCTTTTGTTCCGTTTGGCGAAGCACTTTTGAACTAGATATCAAATTCGTTACACATTTTTATAGTTTCAAAACGAACAGTATGCATATCAATGACTTTGTGTTTAATATCTTTTTTCTAAACTTAGTTCAATATGTTGCCGAAGCTGCAGATGGTAAGGTAAATATCAAACCATTATTATTTTTATTATATTTATTTAATATGGCGTGTATTTTATTTGTGTTTATTTATCGCTTCTTTTCATGTAACAGTTGACTTTTTACGTTGCTTATAGTATTTGAAAAACCGAATAATAGCGACCGTAATAATATTAAATATCGTTCTAATATTTATTACCTAAAATTTGTTTAGTTTTTATGCACGTTCTTATTAAGATATGCCATTATCAAAAGTTATGCGAACTTTTCTTTAGTACTGTGTGTGTAAAATTATATACTTATCAATGGCGACGAACATTTAAAAATGTATTTAAATTTAAATAAAACACTTTAACGGTTTAAAACGCGATATATTAGTTAAACTTATTTGGAAATGATTTTTAACATCGGCCCGACGTTTCGGATGCTTTGCAGCAGCCGTGGTCACGGGGAGACACTTTAACTAATATATCGCGTTTTAACCCGTTAAAGTGTTTTATTTAAATGTGTACTACTCGCGTAAACTATAGACAGTATTTAATGTATTTAAATACAATAGCAAAACGAACTCGGATTTTTAAATCATTAAGCAGTTGAGATTTCTGTAAGAGTGGAAGCTATAAATAGCGTTTACCGTTGTTCTTAAAGTATTAATATATTAAAGTGAAATATTTATGTTAACATCAGAAATTTACGTAAAATTATTGCTAAACTTGGCGTGTTATCATTAATATTGTTAATTTATACGCGAACAATCATTTAACGATACAATAAACTATTCACATTTGATTAATGAGACAACTTGCTTACTTATCGACAGCTAAAGAGTTACTTGATAATTTTAGATCACAGCAGTTTCAAAATTCGGTTCGGTTCGCATTTTTTTTATGTTAGAGGAGGACAGACAAACATAGTGTTCATATACCGTATATTCGCGTAATATTGTTTTACTTTCAAAGTATATAGCCCTATCTTCATAAATAATACACCGTTTTATACTTTAAGGCTCTAGCGTGAACGTGATGACTGAAAAGAAAAAAAACATTTGATTTAAGTCCCTAAAAAGGCTCTATTTTTTAACCGTTTTGCCTAATTTTATTTAATAATATTGTTACGATCACTGCTAAGTTTTAAGTATAACGCCAACACAAAGAAAGGTGATGCAGGATGTTGACTATAAGGAAAATAAGAGTAAAATATATTTGCGTAGGTTTCCCATAAAAATAGGATTCATACAATTTAATATAGCAAAGTGCATTCAGTTGCTAGTCATTAAGAGATAAATATTTAATGATCGGCTGAGAATCGCAGAAACAACCTCTATGTCAAAGGTTTATTAAACGTCGACATTTGCATAGCTCGTTATTTCTCGTAACTTTGTGACTAGCTGCGTCAGCGACTTCGTCCGCGTGGAATAGTTCTTTTGTGCAACCAAATTTGTTTTTGCTAACCTCTACATCTTTATAAATTTAAACTGTACATTCGTATTCGTAAATTTAAACTGCGACATCGGTCGCGTCCCGTCGCTCATGACCCATCGTTCTTACTTGTTAATCTTAAAATATAGTCTTAATAGTGTCGCGGACATTTTTTTAGATCATTTGAAGAGGAATCATTCTTTCGTCCATATTTTTGGGTGTCTTGAACTGTTCTCGCAGCGTACGCATGTGAATCCCACGCAGTTGAAAAATTTCCCCCGTTTTGTTCACATATCCCGCTGTATCTTCGCTTCTATTAGTCACCGGGCCTTATAGCCTTTAGCAAAAATATTTTTTCCATTCGAACCCGTAGTTCCAGAGATTAGCGCGTTCAAACAAACAAACACACTCTTCAGCTTTTTATATTAGTGTAGATTAATTCGAAATTCTATTCTCAAATAATACAGAGTATACAAATGACACATGTTAACTTGGAAGCGCGCACTCACGTTTCTTAGAAACTTGTGGCGTGGAATTTGGAGAACTCTACGCATTGGCTTTTTAGTTTAGTAGATTAGTTTTTACTATAATACAAATATGTAGCTATTAGTTATAAATAAAACTGTGTGCGTTAACAAATTGTTTGGATTAAAAAAAATATAAGAGCATTAAACAAGGAAGGCTTTTGGCTATAAAACACTATAATGTAACCAATAAGAGCGAAAAAACAGTAGGAAAGTTAAAAATTATTTATTTTTGTAGGTTATCAAAATATAATAAAATTCTAGTTTAAACGATTTAAATAAATGTCCGTGACAGCATATGTTTTTAGATTACGGGATTTTAGAATGACGGGGTGGGGTTATTTTTGAAAGCTAGGAATTTGCAAAAGAATTTGAATATTGAGGTCCAAAATAACGATTCTACGCGGACGAGGTCGTGACCTCAGCTAGCGTGTAATGTCTATGGCAGCCAGTATTTTTCATCGACTTTAAACATGACAGGTTGTTTTGAAAATAGCGTTATCTACACACACACTACGTATCTCTAGAAGGTACAATAAAATTAAGATAAACTTAAGCTCTAAATTTGAATTGTGTTTGAAGCAAGTTTTTGTAAATTCGATATAAAACACTTTGTCGTAAATTATCTCGGAGTACATTATTTTCGTTGCAGTTAAGCGATTCCTGTTTAAATCGAGTGGCATCATGCGAAACCAACAGTGGTACCAATCGGGTCCTTTGCGGCACAGACGGACGTACTTACACTTCAAAATGTCATGTTTTGAAGGCCCAATGTAACGGGGACCCGGTCGCTGTAGCGCATCGAGGACCATGCACTGGTAAGTCTTTATATCTATGCTAATGTCATAAAGCTGAAGAGTTTGTTTTTTCGAACGCACTTATTTTAGGAACTGCTGGTTCGAATTAAATTTTAAATTCTTTTTGCGTTGGTTAGACCCGACGCGCTGCGACTAATGGGTGCGAAGAAAAAGTGGGAAATGTGTAAAAAACGAGGGAAAGTTTTCATTATTGAGGGTTTCCGCGTTTGATTCAAAACGGTACAAGATACACAAAAAATAATTGTGAAAGAATGATACTATTAAGATTAAATTGCAAGTAGATACGATGCGGGCGACGTAATGCGCATCAGTTCTTAATAAAGCTAAAAATCAAATATCATCACAGTTGTGGACACAGGTCTTCTTTTTGTTAGATTGTTCCAATGGGGTTTGACAGGCTTTAACGACCTCCGCCGCTAAATTCGTGATGAGAACGTGGACCGACAGCTTAACCTTAAACCACTTTAACTTTCTACAATTATTTTACTAATTACAAAGAAAAAGAAACACAAATTTATTTCCCTGTGAATTTTACGATTCTTTTTTAATACTTTGTTTTGCTATCGAATCTAATAACGATAAAGCCCCCTTCTCTTGTGACAATATTACACGACTATAAAAATCGTCGTAACGTCGGAGGTTCGAAGCCTTTAATAGTTACGGTTTGGTAAGACATCTGACCAACAGCTTGTATATCTACCCCAAAAACAAAAACGGGAGTCCCTCGTCAAAAATGACTTGCGTCTATTAAAAATATCATGCAAATAACAAATCAATGCATTCTTCTTATAATTGTCTATAATTAGCGATTTATAGTCGTCACTCTGAGAAGCATTGCATTCTATAATCTATCGTCCTTCTTGTAAATCATTCGTTGTCATAGACGCGTTTAAGAGTACGATAATTTATTTATATCATTATGCTTTACATACAGTGGTGTCTGTAGTGCAGATAAGATGAAAGCCGATGTAATATCATAATTACCTCTTCTCCTCGACATTTCGCCATCACGATTTTTTCTATGTATAATCGATTTTTTAATTTTATAGGAACTTACGACCCTTCGTTATTACTCATACATTGCTACCATTAGCCCAATGCTTCTGTAATGCTCCCTAGATGGCCAGTCGTCTTGCCTCACCGTATTGCGTTACGCGTTGAACGCGCAAAGTGGACGCAGAGCGGCCTTCGTCCCCAAGTGCCGAGCTGATGGAACATATGCGGCAGTGCAGTGTGCTGCTGCTGGTGCTGCAGCTGGCTGCTGGTGTGTAACGCCAGAGGGAAAACCACTCCCCGATACCGCTGTTAGGAATGGCAGGCCCGATTGTACTAGACCCGGTAAGTAAATAGTAATTGCTTTAAATTACGAGTCTCGCAATGGATAGATAGACTATAACAGCAAGGTATTATTTGAATAAAACACTTTAACGGTTTAAAATGCGATATATATCAGTTAAACTTATTAAAAAAAAGATTATAAACGAATTAATTAATATTTCAAATAAGTTCCACTAATATATATCGCGTTACAAACCGTTAAAGGGTTTTATTTAAATTCGACTACTCGCGTACTATATCGCGTAAGACTACTATAGACAGTATTTGAATTGCGCGTTTTTACGCGATCGCCAAAGCAACATTTTGCGTTGTATATGAAGACGGGAAAAATAATACGATCGTGCCTTAACAATATTTCCTTTTAGCAACAAGTGCCTCTCATACCGTTTATCTAAAAAAAACAAAAGGATAATTTCTATATAGTTCAGAGGAAAATTTGTGTGCAACAGACGGCGCTAAAACTATCTATTCTTGATGTAACATCTGTTCTGCTTAACGCCGAACTGTAAATAAGTCGTTCAAAATCATAAACACTTCGTGGATAAAAGCTTGTGTTTACATTTCACCAACGTCTTGAGATATTTAAATTTACAAAGAATATCTTTAACGGATGTTTGAATGCGTATTTATGCAGCGTACGAAACAAACGCTTAGAACGATTGTAACGTTTTTTTTAATGATAGCGATGGACACACATGGCACGACGTTCACTTGATGGTAGGTGGAAATAGGCCTATTTCCTAACAAGATGCACTGTACGATTTTGGCTTTGTAAATCCACAGACTGAAGGCGAAACGCGATTAAGCCACACGGCTTTTTCATCTGTGGACGTTGGTTCGTGACTCCAACTGAATGTCTATATTCCTACCACCCAATTAATGTCCAGATTTCCAGACGAAGTCCAACATGTTTTTAAAACTATACATGTTGGGCCCGGGTGGGGTTCGAACACACGACCCGATACTTTGACCAATAGACCAATGAGTTGAAACGTGAATAATACCCACCCCGCTACCGAAACGTCGGATCGTATATAAAAATAAGTTAATATATTTTGTGTTGCGTAATGTGTTATTTAATTGCGTGGAGTGTTGATATGAAAAATATTTGTAAATATTGCTGACTTTCCCGTTGTAAAATCTATTGTTAAACGTTTCTTATTACTTCTTTTTGTCGTCAAATTGAATGAATTAGCGCATTTTAATAATCGCTAGATTCAAGTATTTGATTCATCGCTTGATTTCTTACAAGCCTTTAATTTTAACCACTTGCTATCAAGTACTGTGCCTTTGTTCGCGTAGAATAGATATTTTGGGTATCATATTTTTTTTTTTTTGCAAATAACCTCCTTAGCTTTATGAATTATAGCTGAAATAATCCGCGTCTCGTCGACTTTATCCTAAAAGATAGACAAATACTTTCGCGGACATTTTTTTTAATCGTTGGAAGAAGAATCGACCAATTCTGCTCGTTTTCTCTGATATCACCAAACCGTCAGGCTGCGAGAAAAAGAAGAGTCAGAACTCTTTCTTTTTAGCCTGACGTTTTATAGCCTAAAGCCTTCCTCGATTAGCGGTCCAACTATCACAAAACGAAATTTTAAATTCAATTCAGTAGTTCAGTTTAGCGCGTACAAGCAAACAGACCCTCCAACTTTATAATATTAGTATAGCTTACTACCTGCATTAAAGCTTTTCCATATAACTTTATGTTACTGCCGTATCAAGTTAAAACATGTAGTAATTGCAGACAAAAACAACTATAAGGTAAGGATGTCGCGTTTGTATAGTTTCCTAGAATATTTAAACACGTTGCGATATTATTCTCTCACAAAACATCTAGACACTGTTTATCGCCGTCTATCGCAAACGCTTCTTATGTATCCGTATAAGATTGAAAACAGATTTTACTCGTGTTTACAATAACTAACACTATGGACCATAACAGATAAATTAGATAAGATTGATTGAATAATTGTTCGCATATTGAATGTATTGGTCATTAAAGATATTTAGAAAATAATTATGCGTATAGTATAATAATCGCGATCAAAGTTAAATAAAACACTGTTAACGGTTTAAAACGCGATATATTAGTTAAACTTATTTGGAAATGATTTTACTTCGGCCCGACGTTTCGGTTGCCTTGCAGCAGAGAGGTCAGAGAGGAACAAATTTTTTTGAAAACCTAGTCTATATTTTTATAATGAACGGTAATTTCCAGTTATTTTCCAAGTATGTATTATCTCTTAATAACTGTAATTTTATGGATAATAAGCATGTTTAAACAAATGTTTTACTCTTAGGATTCTGTTTATTTTTATTGTGTAATTTGCACAGTATTAATTGCTATGGTATCTGCCTTTACTAATATGAAAATAAACTATTTTGTTGAAAGTAAGGCAAAGCTTTACAAAATTTAGGGATGAAGTGTTTTGTACGACGAATTTAAACTACCCCTTTCCGTAAACAAATTTCAATATTTCTATATACACTGCCAGAATTTCATAAAAAATCTAACCGTAGACAAACATTTACAAGCCATCGAATTGATAAGATGTGAAAAATTTTAACACCGACATTTTGTATTGATATAAAGGGGTCAGGGGCTTCCAGAGGCGGAAGATGGCAATCCTAACATGTAATAGACAGTAGACAGGTACCGATTATTGAATTAGACGGCATTGATACAGATAACTGAAAGAGAATGTTGAAATACTCATGTCAAAGATAAAAAAGAAAAAAGTTAAAAGAATATGTCACCACCGGCCAGTGTTAAAGCCTTTCAAAATTGGAACGGTGCCGTCAGTGCAAAAGAGGCCGCCTTTAATCAAAATTCTTCGATAGAATTAAGTGCAAAATAAAGTCGCCGCGGGTCTAAAATTATTGAGTTACCAGTTCTTTACCTGACCCCTTTTTGGCAACAAAAATACGGTTTCTCTTAAATATATTTTGAGTCATGACATTATAACGATGTTTTAGTTTATGGGAACCGAAATTCGAATATTTAAGGCATGTTAATAATGAGATTCGTGTGGGACAGCGGTCCAAATCTAGATAAATTGTTTGGCACACGATAAGCGAAGGAATTAAATCTTTTAAGGAATGAATTGCCTACAATTTGCTTTTCTTAGTGACAAGCTATATAAGCATGTAAGTTGACTCAACAGGTCATAGGTTCGACCCCCACCGAGTCCGACATGTTTTTAATCAGTATATCATTGTTTTTCGGGCTGTTCGGCCGACGTGAGCGAAATGAGCTGAGCGTTGAGAACCTCTGGCATGGCCGTGATAGCCTTACACAATTTATGTTTTTAATTTATAAAATTTTCTAAAACATGTTACATGAATATCGAAATTCCACAAATGAAAAAGTCGTCAAGTTTTAACGCTTTTCAGTTTCATTCATAGCCAAAAAAGCCGACAGCGCATCTTGTTTAGACGGTATTTGGCTTATTTAACCAACCATGAACCCAATGCCTGTCTGTTCTCCTCTGTCATTAAAAACTCCTATTTTGATAAGCAGTATTCGTAAATAGAGTTAGGGAATTTGTGACGATCTCATTGAGATTTATAGTGGTCTAGTTGTATTAAATAAATGTTCAGTGGAAGATGGCGATTACAATCACTTATCAGTCTGTGGGCCCAGGGCGTTGTCCTGCGGAGGACGTCTCATTGTCAAGAGTTGTACATATAGGAGCTAGTCTTTTTTTATTGAGCGCGGAGATAACGTCGCGGTTAAAAGACAAATGCCTGCGGCTTTTATGAGTCAACTATCCGTTTACTAATTTCAATTCAGCTTCAAGTGGTTTGAAAGTGTATTAAGTAAATTTAGTCACATTTAATAGTATCGTTTGACGCTGTTATCATGCACTAGCTGTGTCGGCGACTTCGTCCGTGTTTGGAAACCTCTACCTCAAATTATAGCTTAATCCTAAAAGACATACATTGTCATCGACATTATTTACTTCATTTAAAGAGAAATCATTCGTTCGTACATATTTGTATCTTAATCCTTCCTTGATAAATGTTCTAACCAACACATTTCACAATTCGACCCAGTAGTTTTTGAGATTCGCGCGTAAACTCATCAGCTTTATATATTACGTCTATTAATTATAGATTAAGTCTAGTCTAGTATCTTTTCTCTATTTTTTATGACAATGATCTGTTTGATTATTATTATAAAATATTTAATTTATGTTATATTTTCACGATTGTGTAATATTCTCTAAATAAAAAAAATAGCTGTTTCTTTCATATAACATTTAAACATATTCATATAAAAAACCTACTTGCTCGTTAGCTCCATGGTTAACGGGTCAACGGGTCGGGGATTTGATACCTACCGGGTCCAACGCGTTTCTTATCAATTAACACTTAGACATGTTGACTTCGTTTGGAAATTTGGATATTAGATGGGTGGTAGGAATGAAATTGCATTTCAGTCTGTAGATTTCCATAGGTCGATAACGCATCTTGTTGAGATGTTATATGGCTGATGCGTGTCCTGTATCATAAAAAAAATAGCAGTATTTTATCGAACACAACGTTTTTCTACTGACGCGTTTTTTGTGACCTAGATAGGCTATTGCTCTCTGAATCCTTTGATAATTCAGGCCTCGTCTGAATACGTGTTCTGTTGAGATTGTATCATCTTTTGATAGCGAAATCACTTTTAAGTGTGGAATGCGTCCGTTCCGGTCCTGCGGCCGTTTGTCTCTGTCTTAACGTTCTTAAAAAAAATGCAAATCTATACTAATATAATAAAGATAAGGAGTTTGTTTGTTTGCACGCGCTAATCTCAGTTTCGAAATGAAAAATTATTTTTGTGTTGGTTAAATCATTTATCGTGGAAGGCTTTAAAACATCATGCGGAGACTGAAATGTGGAAAATAATGTTAATATATTCTATAGTTAATATAGGTTTAAGACACCCAAATTTGTAGGAAATAATTATCGCTCTTTAAATGATCTAAAACAACGGGCAACGTGATAAA